ACAACCCTACAGGTGTGAAGGAGCCAAGGCCCCAAGAGAGAAACCTGGAGGTGTTAAGATGATAAATAACTGCTGTCTTCTTACATCAGTGGACAATTATGAAGTATATTCTACATGGCTCAAGGCCTCATTCCCCACAGTGATGACTAATTCAAGAACACTCTCATGTTGACTTTCCTTGTTTCACTTTCCCTAGTTATCCACTGCTATTTCCTGAGATCACTGTCCAAAATCAACTGCTTAAAAAGTAAGTCCTTGTCTCATGTTCAGTTTTCAAGGGGGTAAGCCAGGATAAGAGACCACTAAATAAAACTCATCCAGGGAACGCAGGGTAAACACTCAATTCTTGTACTCAATTGATGCTATTCAGATTATTGCCCAAGTTGTATCTAGTTACGAACTCATGAGCTCGTATGCAATTAGTGAATTTCAATCATACTTCTGTTTTTGATGCTCACATTGTCCCCCTCTCAACCCCTTTATGTTGATGTATCTTTGTCCTGTCCCACTAGTCTTTTAGATTTAAACAGCTTCCTTGATTTCTGAGAACACATACTTTCTTTTCTTTTTTTGGTCCTAGCACACAATCTACTATTCCCACAAAGCACCTCCTTACTTGTTATAGAAAGCAATGTATAAAAAGAACAACACAATATAAAGATTTTTAGAATATACAATTGCTATTACCTCTAAGCCTTTGTAGAAGATACGGCAAGAAAATACTTTTGTTTTTCGATAAATTCATTTTCTCATTAATATATAAGAAACATTTTTGAAAAAAGTCATAGACTTACTATTTCTAATTCAACTTTAGTTTTTTTGTTTTATTTATTTTTGGTTTTTGAGACAGGGTTTCTCTGTGTAGCTCTGGCTGGCCTCAAAACTTACAGAGAACCACCTGCCTCTCAACTTTAGTATTCTATGGATTCTACTTACTCTGAAAAACCCTCATTCCTAAGAATTCTATTTGCATACAACATATAGGATTAGAAAGTAATAGTATCTGTATTTCTGTGAGCAGTAAGAATGAAGCTTAAGATATTTTTGTAGATTTGTCATCTAGGGAATATAATCTATGGGTGATGTGTGATGAGAATACTATTTTCTTAAGTCATTGGTTATTTACTTGGTATGATTATGACACAGCCACTTAATATGCGGTTACATCAGTTGCTTCAGTTAATCTTCAAAGTTTAGGAATTACATTTTTCTTTTGTATTTCAAATTATTTAGAATACATAAAATGAACACAAGATTCTAAAACCAAAGCTATATAGCCAAGGGTTATAGAATAGTTTACTAGTCTCCATGCTGATCTCTGCTCCTGCTTGTTCAGAATATATGCATATATATATACACAAAATGTTATGCTGTTTTGCACCTTGCATTTAAAAATTCTATATATATCCTGAAAGATATATAAAGTGATAGCTCTCAGTTTTTTCAGTTGTAACATGTCTCAAGATGCATCTACCTTAGTTTATTTAATTACTCCCCACTTTGCGGTTGTTTGGATAATTTTATATTACAAGCAATACAGCAATGAACAAACTTCCACTTTAGTCACTTTGCATTTTGCAATAGGTTCCTAGAATTGACATATGTCAAAGGCAAACGTATACATGATACTGTGATTATCTACTTGCTTTGTGCTATTTTGTAGTCTTAATGGCAGTAGGTTCCTTTCCTATTCCTCATAGGCTGTCGATCAAGGAAGTGGTCAAACCTGTGAACTTTTGCTGTTGATTACTTGGATCCCTTTATTATCAGCCTCTAAAATGTACAACGATGCTTTCCTTTACTTGTGGGAGACCTCTCTCAGGATTAAACAAGAGGCGACTACACAGAGGTGATAGATGGGTGGTTGCAATGTCTCTGTTTTTAGTAACCAAATTATGAAAGTTCTGATGTCCGCAGCACCACCAACCTTAACACCTTTTATTTCCAAAGACTAGCTTATGTTTTCAGCCAAAGAGGAGGCTACAGAATATGGCCTTGCTTGTCTGTAAGGTTGGCTAAATGGAGAGAACTAAGTCCACTTACTAAGAAAGGATTCTGAGAACGGTGGCAGAGGAATCATGACCATCTTTTGTTAGTTTGCTGTCTTTGGAAGAATCCCATTACCAAGCTGAAGTCTGTGTATGGCTGACCACAGTCGTGTAGGGCTTCTGACAGACTTTCCCTTGGTGTTTTGTGGAAATAAATGTCATATTTGGAGACAAGTTTTGCTTTCAGCTTCTTTCATATTCCAGTGGGCTAGTCTGCCCTCCTGGGGACAGATGTTTACCTATGTTTGGAGACAACGTATCTGGTTGTCACAATTTGGAAAAGGTATTTCTGGCATCTATTGGGCACATGTCAAGGATGGTGCTGAATGCCTTATAAGAATTAAGACAGATTTCTTTCCCCTTCAACCAAGGATCATGTTTCAAAATGTCAATAATGCTGAGGTTAAGAAACTCTATTTCTCCTTTATGAACACATCCACACACATTTTAAAATAACTGTTATCAGTGGCAAAGGCAGAGTAGAATCTCAGACACATCCCCCTGATCCTGTAAAAGTTACTTGAATTTGGACATTTCTTTAGCCATAAAGATTTAAGAGAATATATGTTTATCTGGAGGATTAAAGAACAAATATCATTTTAACCTTCTAAAACCAATTATCATTAGATATAATGCAACCTTTTAACTGTAAGAATAAAGAAAAGTGCTGGTTATTTAAAGTAAATGGGACCAGAAGTCCCATGAATAATCAGAAACTTGGTTAATAAGTATGACCAGAGAATAATGTACTTGGCTTCCGTGGAGAAATTAAAGTACATGCTGTGAATTGTTATTAAGGCAAATGCATAAAAAGTTACTCTTAAGATACCAGTGATCCTGATGAAACGGTCCCATGTGCACAGTGTATCACATTCAGTCTCTCTCTCTCTTTCTGGATTATCATGACTTTTTCCTTGTATAACCCAGAGGCTCAGGCCTTGGAACTATTTAGAACAGTAAGATATTTAATTTTTCATTTATTTTTACATAGTAACATACTTGGATTTTATTGTTAGGAATCTATCTCTTACATAGAACCTCTCTTGTGGGGAGACTATTTTTGTTTTGTTGTTGTTTTGTTTTTGTTTTTTTTTTTTTTTTTTTTTTGAGACAGGGTGTCTGTGTGTAGCCTTGGTTGTCCTGGACTCAATTTGTAGACCAGGCTGGCCTCGAACTCACAGAGATCTGCCTGCCTCTGCTTCCCTGAGTGCTGGTATTAAAGGCCTATGCCACCTTGACTGGCTGGGAAGTTTGTTTTTTAAACGTAATTCACCTTTAATAAAATGTACTCCTAAATTTTATCCACACTGAGTTTTGTTGTTGTTGTTTGCTTTTTTCTTTCTTTCTTTTTTTGGTACAGGCTCTCACTATGACCTAGAACTGGGTATGTAGATCAGGCTGCCCTTGAACTCAGAGATCCTTCTGCCTCTGCCTCCTGATTGCTGGCAAGTACCACCAATCCTGGTCCTAAAATAGAAACTTGAAATCACAGACTTGGCCTTCAAAGGGAGTCTGCAACTAAACTTGCTATAGATAAAAACATCTTGTTTTACATTGTGAACAATTCCTCTTTGTTTTTTTAGTTCATTTACATGAGGTAAACTTAAAAAATAGCAACCATAAATTTTGAAACCTTAAGTTTTTAGGTTATTTCTGAATGTAAAGTGTAGGTAACAAGTCCTTTATTATTTATCTTAATTTTACTCTTTTTTTTTGGTAATGGATTGAATTTAGGGTTTTGCGACATTCTTTATCATTAACAAACAAGGACTTTAACAGGTTTGTTTGTTTTTTTTTTTTTTTTTTTTTTTTTGTAATTAGAAGGGGCAAGATGCTAGACATACTTGCCTGGCAGGACAGTGGTCCTCATCTGTAGTCCTAGAATTTGAGAGGTGAATCAAACGTCATAGGTCAGTCTCAGGCCACTGTGGCCGATTAAAAAAAAAGTTCCTTCCAGTACTGAAACCATCATCACACTGACAATATACCTTTAGCAATGAGGTGAAAAAAATTTTTGGTAGCATATTACTTAATGTTGTGGTTGAGAATATGTATTCAAATAACCAGACTATCAGGTCTGGTATGTGGCTCAGAAAGAGAGTACTAGCCTAACATTCCTGCATGAGGCCTGGCTACTATCGCTAGCATCCAAAGGGGAGGATAAAAACAAACAAACAAACAAACAAAAAACAAAAACAAAAAAATGCCCCAGATTTTCTGGGTTCACACTCTTGCTTACAATTTGGCTGTGCCTCACTCAGTTTCAGCCCCCAAATACAGGGAATAATATAATCTTTAAAAATGCAACAAAAGATTAAGTGAGCCAATATGTAAAAATGCAGTCCAGCCGGTGAATTTTCAACTTCGGAGCCAAGAAACGAGGGGAGCAAGCAACGCTTCATTCCATTCTCACAGTATCCTTGGACAGAAGGCAAATCTGCTTCTGTGTTTTTCACTGGAGAAACCCTCACACGTCGGCCGTCGGCCACGCAGCTGAGTGAAGCAGCTCTGCCGGGGCTGCCAGCGGAGACGTCGCCCAGCGGCCCTCCCGCATTCGCATCCCCATCGAGGCCCGAAGGCGAACAGGGGAGAAGGCTTCCCCGCAAGCCCGCACCACGGCCCCACGATCTCACTGCAGACGCCGACTCAGGACACTGGTATTAATTTACATCAGCTTCCCTCCGCCCTGGGCCGAGAGGAACGCTCCAGCGACCCCCGAGTCCTCCCAGAGCCAGGGCTAGAGGGGTGGCTCGGCAGCCTAGCACGTCCCCAAAGGGCGGACACTGCAGTCCAAGGGCAGAGGCTTCCATCCGTACCCTCGCCTTCCGGTCACCGCCAAAGCCCCGCCCATTTGGGCGGTCTCAGCCGTGCCGTAAAGTAAGGAGCGCTCTTTGCCGCTCATCAGCCCTCCCGTGTCTTTACGGCAGGCCGCATTTCATGGCTCCAAAATGGCTCCCCCTATGTAGACAGTGTCTGGGGTTTCTATCACAGGTGGCCAGTGTAATTCTGAGCAGCAGCTGTGGTCCCGCCAGCCTGGGCTGCAGAAGCAGCAAACTTTATTCCTGGCTACGGCTCCAGAAAGCCACACTTCTCCGAGGGTTTGGAATTGTTTCCTTTTAGATCTTGAAAGTTCCTCTTCAGCCCTTGTTTACTGTGACATTTCTGGACACCTATCCCAGGTCCCTGACCCTCTCAGACTCAAACCATGAGCCTTCGGCAGCTGCTGTTGCGCTTGTCCGGTTATCTCCGGGCTTCTGGTCCCCCATATCAACAGTGGTGGTGCTCCAGATCCCTCGACACCATCTCCTCGGTAGGCTCCTGGCGTGGCCGATCTTCTAGGTGTCCAGCCCACTGGAATCAGGTGGTGTCAGAGGCAGAGAAGATCGTGGGCTATCCCGCATCCTTCATGAGCCTCCGCTGTCTGCTGAGTGACGAGCTCAGCAACATCGCTATGCAGGTTCGGAAGCTGGTGGGGACTCAGCACCCTCTGCTTACCACTGCCAGGTGAGCGACCCCGTCTCCCCCTGACCACAGGACCCACTCGTCTTTTTATTTATTTATTTTATTTTTTATTTTGCTCAGGACATTCATGCTAATTCAGGGTCTGGCCAGTTCTTTTATCACCAGTATCCACTCTCCCCACCCCACATCCCCGTCAAGACTCACGCTAAGTCTGGATCTGGCCCGTGCTTTTATCCCTTCTTTCCTTTGATCTTTTTAGACATCTTTGATGTTTCTTATACTTGGCACACCTCAGTGGGTAAATAGTTTTCTTAAGAGAAAAACGTGAGTGTTTTTCACAGTTTCTTTTAACTATTAGAGGTACAGATGGTTCAGTGATTTGTGAAGATACCAGTCAGATGTTTATTTATTTAGTCACATTCAAGTAGCGGTATTTTTAAAATGGGATAGAGCCAGGCAGTGGTGGTACGTGCTTTTAATCTCAGCACTTGGGAGGCAGAGGCAAGTAGATCTTTGAGTTCGAGGCCAGCCTGGTCTACAGAGCGAGTTCCCAGACAGCCAAAGCTACACAAAGAAACTCTGTCCAGAAAATGATCAAAAACCAAAAAGGAATAAATATTCCCCACTATTCAATTGTTTACTTACAGAAAGATTAAGATAAGAGAGACAAAGTGGACAGCTCTTAACAAATATCCAGGTATTGGACTATCCAGGTAGAGATCATTTTCCTCTCGAGGCTTTTAACCACTTAATGCTAGACTAGTGTTAAACCTGCTACTAGGGTCTTTAAAAACCTTTTATCACACATACACATAACACACACACACACACACATAACACACACACACACACAAAAAAAAAAAAACCAAAAATTCTCATACCTTGTGGTTTGTAGTTTATTTCAAACATACAGAAAGTTGTTAGAATAAAAATATTACAAAGAGAATTTGTGGGGATGTCATTGCCAGTAAAGTGCTTCTGCATGTACAACGACCTGAATCTGATCTCCAGCAACCATGTAAAAAGGCTGGAGGCTTGTAATCCTGGCACTGAGGATGTAGAGACTGGAAGATCCCTGTGGTTTACTGGCCAGCTAGTCTAGTTCAACCAGCAAATTTTTGGCTGAAAAAAAGAGACTCTGTCTTAAACCCAGTTGTGAAAAAGGAAACAATACAAAAGATGGCAAGTGGGCTTATGAGTGTTCAAAACCATTATCACTTAGAGAAATACAGATTCACATCACTATGGGATGCTGTCCCATGCTTTGAGAAGGAATGAAATAAGCACTGATGATAAGGCATCCTGGTGAAGAAACAGGAAAAATTAAATTTGGCATGCATGTAAATTGGTATGGCCAATCTGGAAAATGATAGTTTCTTATAAGAGTAATTAAATAAGATTAAATTGTACACCTCATTCATTATACTCATAAACATTTATCCGAAAGAAATAATAATAATAATAAAAAACCCAACCTTGTCTGTATCTGAACTTATACAGGGATATTTATAATGTTGAAAGTTGATTGTAAATTTGTCAAAGTCTTGTCAGCAAAATGTTGATAATTAAGAGGAATTGCCCCAACTTGAACAACCCAAATGTTACTTGTTGTGAATGCTTGATCAAACTGTGATACATCCATAACCATAAAGTTCTATTTGGTGGAGCTGAAGAGATGTCTCAGTCACTAAGTTGCCTACCATGCAAACTTGAGGACCTGAGTGAGCTTTGATCCCAAGTATCTACAAAAAAGCTGGGCACCAAGAGTGTGTACAAGTGGATTCTGCAACCCGAGTGTTGGGTTGCAATGCGCAGACAGGCCAGCCCATGGACCAGCTAGCCTATATAATTAATGAGCTCAGTGAGAGGCAGTTTGAGCTCAGTGGGTTTAATGAGAGACCTTGTCTCAAAATATAAGGTGGAGCAAGATGAAGGAAGACACCCGGTGTCCACCTCTTACCTCCACACGGGTACACATCTATTTGAACATACGTATGCCCTCCCAAACACAAGCACTATTTGATAAAAAAGAATATTGATATCAGTGCATACAACTTGAATGAATCCCAAAAGAATTATGTGAAAAGAGTTTTTTTTTCTTCAAGAAATTATGAGTTACCATGTTATTCAGCTATTCTACTCCTAAAAATATTTCCAAAAGAATTGAAAATGGAGTTTCAGATATATATCTATATCTATATCTATATATATATATCTGTACTTATGTTTCTAGTATTATTTACAATAGCCAGAGGTAGAAGTAGATCATGTATTCATCAGTGGGTGAATGCATTAATGAAGTGTGATGTATACATACAATAAAAAACTATTCAACATTGAAAAAAAGCTGGCATGTTATAACAATGATGAACCTTGAAAATATATGCTAAGTGAAATAAGCAATTCTTAAAAAACACATACTGTGTAATTCTACTTACACGAGCATCGCAAGTAGTTGAACTCAGAGAAAAAGGGTAGAAACTGAAGAGCAGTTATGCTAGCACTACTGAACCATAGACACTTCAGAATGGACAGGTTGTGCATTTCATCAATATATATTTTAAGGTTTTGTTTATTTGAAGACTGGGCCTCACACTGAAACCCTGACTGGCCTGGAACTCTCAGTGATCCATCCTCCTGCCTTTGCTTCCTGAGCGCTGGGATTAAAACCACCATACCCAGCTTTCAAACACAAGTTTTTAAGAACTCAGTTTTATAATTTTTTATTATTATTTTTATTATTTTGATCAGTTTGACACAAGCTGGAGTGATCTGGCAAGAGAGAACCTCAATTGAGAAAATGCCTTTATCAGATTGGCTTGTAGGAAAGACTATGGTGTATTTTCTTCATGAATGATTGATGTGGGTAGGCACAGCCCACTGGGGAGGATGTTCTGGGTTGTATAAGAAAGAAGGCGGAGCAAGCCATTAGGAGCAAACCATTGAGCAGCTGCCTTCCATAGTCTCTGCATCAGCTTCTCCTTCCAGATTCCTGCTGTGGCTCCCCTCAGTGGGTCATGGCTGGGATATGTAAGCCAAATAAGCCATTTCTCCAGGAAGCTGCTTTTGGTCATTATTCTAGCACAGCAATAGATGCCAAACATTTATATCATTAAAAAAAAAATGCCAACGTATAGAGATGGAGAACAGATGAGTTTAGAAATTAGGTGACAGTGTGGGGAGCAAGGAGGAGCAAAAACTGTGAAGAGGTATATCATGCTGAGGGAACACGTTGAATTCTTGTGCTAATCTGGTAATGAATCTAGACAATGGATAAAGCTGCTAAAAATGGAAATAGAATAAGCTTGATTTAGGATTTTAGAATTATGCTACAAGTAAAATTTCATCACTATGAAGTGAAGCTGGGTCCAAGGAACAGAGAACTCTTATCCTATTTCTTCAATGTATTGTCTGTAATTATTTCAATATTTTAAAGACTTAGATATATCACTTCAACTCAAGTCATATTAGGGTAGGAGAAGCCTAAGATAAAGTGGATGAGAAGGGGAGAGAGGAAAAAGCTTGGAAGGTTGCAGTGAATAAGAGGTTTCCCAAGCTGATTTCCAGCGTTATTGCCAGCTCTGAACTGTCTGGAAACTCCTGTCAGACCTGGATTTGGCTTGTAAGAAGGCCCTTCTCAGTGAAAAAAAGTTGAATGCATTGATGCAATGAAAATATGGTTCTCCACAATTTAAAAATCCTAAACGCTCAGAAAACAGTATATTTTTCAGACTCATAACCTGATCTTAATGGATGTGGGACTTTTTGGTTTTTATTCATCCCAGTGAATGTGAATATTCATTCTGTTGCAGAAATATTAATGTTTGATTACAGACTCAGTTTAGTTCTTGTTGGAATGCAGGGTTAAGAATACCTTTTTAAATCAGAAAAGTTGCCTTCTGAGAGATATTTGTTTCAGAGGTGTGGTGGTTTAAATAAAACGGCCTCTGTAGGCCCAGATACTTGAATACGTAGCCATCAGGGAGTGGCACTATTTGAGAAGAATTAGAAAGATTAGGAGGTGTGGCCTGCAGATCAGGATGTAACTAAGCTACTGCTCTAGCATCATGAGTGCTGCCACACTCCCCACCATGATGAAAGTAGACTAAACCTCTGAAACTGTAAGCAAGCCCCCAACAGAATGTTTTCTTTTATAAGCATTGCCTTGGTCATGGTGTCTCTTTATAGCAGTAGAACAGCGACTAAGACAAGGGGAGCTTTGCATAAGGAGCTGTGGACCTGTCCAAGGTGGACAGTGTCCTGTAGGAATGCCCAGGTAGATTATTAGTGCGGAAGAAGCTAAAGGGAGCCACAGTGAGTCAACCTCTCCCTTCCTGCCAGCACAACCATGGCCTGTGGTTTCATTGCTGCCTGTCTAATTCAGTTTAGTACCCACTTGCATAATATATATTTTAATCATTTATATCTGCCAATCATTCATATTTAAGTATCTTTTATCTTTGGTAAGTTTACTTGGTATACTGTTGCGCAAGATAGTTTTTATTGTCATTGAAGAATTGCCTTGATCAGATTGGCCTGGGATTGTGACTTTGATGACTCATGCCAGAGGGCCCAGCACACCATGGACAACTCAGCACCATCTAGGCACATGGACCTGGGCTGTATGAACAAGCTAGCAGAGCCTGGTATACCTTTAATCCGAGCAGTCAGGAGGCAGAAGCAGGCAGATCTCTGTGAGTTTAAGGCCAGCCTGGTCTGCAAAGTGAGTTCCAAGACAGCCAGGGCTACATAGTAAGACTGATTCAAATAAATAAACAAGGAAAAAAAAAAAAAAGGAGGAAGAAATCAAGCAAGCTCACAAACTAAGCAAGCTAGTAATTCTTCCATGGTCTCTACTTTAGTTCCTGCCTCAACTTTCTTCAGTGATTAGCTGTTACCTTGAAGCATAAAAGGAAACAGAACCCATTATTCCCAAGTTGGTTTCATGGTGTTTATCACAGGGAAAGAAAAGCAAACTAGAACAACTGCCTTCTAGTGACTGATTGAATGCTTCCGAGAGCTTATGGACAGTGTGCGGTTGC